ATAAACTGTTGTTTGCAATATAACGCTCGCCTAGCGGATCGGGTTATATTTACAAACAACGTTTATATAGGGCCATATAACCTGTCAAAAACCATTATAACTAACAATATAAAGCAATTAATTGAGCTGACGTTATATCAATTCAGATGAAATTAAAAAAATACTAGAAAGTATAAAAAAACACATTTAAAACAAAATAGAAACATTATTCCTGACCAATAAAATATCCCATCTGCTGTTAGATTCTCAACAGAACAGAACAGAGTTTATTTCATAACTTGTACACACATAAGTACATCGTTATAACAAACATTATGAAATATAATTTTAGGTCATTATTTTACAATATAGGAAAACACACACATAAAGAAAACTACAGTAAAGTAGAAGAAGCGTATCTTTATAATATTAAAGCAGCCCTTGTCTGTAAACTAAGTCATACATGAAACGCTATGCATTTTCTCAACAACAGATAAGTTGTCAAAATAAGTATCAATTGTTCTTCCAGACTGAATTAGGTCTTCCCAGAATTGTATATATAAAGCGAAGTGAACAGTGAAATATAATGTACCTCATCTTCCACCACTATATCAGTAACAGTTTAATCAATGACAAATTTTCATTCACACCTCTTGCTTTTCAGTCTTTTCATTGAACGCCGCCTTTCCTTGTTGATCTTGTTTATCATAATTCATGAACTGAGTACAATACAAGCTGGTGCTTTTTTCACTTTTTCATTATACCTCATGACTGTGCATCCTCAATTAAACCGAGTCTGCAATTTGCGGCAATTTTGCTGTTTTTAATGCTTCCTTTGGATCACTTTTTTCCACATATCTATAGTACAATAATATTATCGCTGCAATATATAAATAGAATTCTCTTCTAAGCAGCATTGCTATTTTCCAGTACCGAACAGTCTCAATCATGCAGACCCTACAGTATTTTAAATTTTGTCGTTTAAAGATTCGCCTTTTTTAATTTTATATTAAAAGGTTGTGCAGTACAATTTAATACGTCGATTTGATAGTGTCGTTTAATTCGAATCAATTTTGTGTTGGGGTGGGGGCGGGGCAAAATGTTTGCTTCTTCCTTCTTTATCTGAGGAAGCTACCCGTAAACCTTGCCGGAAGCCGGTAGTTAACCAAGCTACTCGGCTGCTAATTGTCGCACGGGTGGAGTATGTATCCGTCTACAAATCGCCACCTTAGTGCACTTACGGGTTAACTCTTTTTAAAAGGGTTAAGCTGAAAGTTTTGCCTTTGCCTTGGTGATGACTAAAACCTGAAAATAGAAAATTCAACCATCGTTTATTGCCAACAGTGACTATGTTTGTAGGTTGTGTGTTGGTTTTTTTTTAACTTTCTTGCTTTTATTTAGAGGTGTGTCGATAGTTAAGCGTTTTGTTATAAAAAGTTTTCTCAAAATTCTGCACTTATTCATATAATTCAATTTTCATGAAACTGATATCGATAATATAATTTATATCTTTGCTCAGTGTTTTTGTTTTTCATAATAAATTTCCCAAACGCCGAAATGGTTAAATCATCCGTTAAAATGCCTACGATAATAGTGCTCCATAGTTAACTATATTTGATTATGCAAATTATTATAACTATAAATGGCGGGATACGCTTGTATTATGCTGTTCCATGAAAATCAAGTTCATATTCAGCAGGAAGGAAATTACTTTCAGCGAAACATGACGCAAATGAACATCATTTAATTGACTTGTTAAAGATGTTATGGTTCACGCTTCACAAGTGCATCTTGACGAACCCTTATTCAATTATAATGATTTTAAATGTTTACATATGATGGACGAAAAGGAAGAGAAAAACGGTTATTATAAATATACGATAAAAATTAACGTTTATTTATATATAAAAGAGAAGCCATGTAGTTTGTTATACGTTGCTATGGTAACCAACATTCTAAAAATAGATTAAGTTAAAGATATACTATGCTCAAATTTGATTTTTTTTAAATATTAATAATTGCTACACAGTCTCTTTGTATGTATAAAATAAACATGTTTCGACTTAATTTTAAGTAGATATGTTATGTTTTGAACTCTACACGCTACAGGTAGTCACAATATGAATATATAGTGTCATTAAAACATTAAAAAAACTAGCAGTTTTTTTAAGCAAAGACCAACTTTACTTGACCCGTAATACGGAATGCAGCTTCCCATACATAGTTTATTCATTATTTTATTCAAATTAAACTTATTCAGTAAAAGTTTCATGAATTTCAATACATTTGTTAGATAAAAATATTTTACCCAAAGATGAGCATAGTATATCTTTAATAAAAGACACCAGGGAGGAAACAGCTTTGTCACCTGTCATCTCGTCTGATTTTCTATTCAACATGAGTATAAAGTTTGCATAGCCAGTCAATGGTATTAAGACCCTTCCCATTCTTTATTTTATCAAATGATACTGTTCATAGAGATAAAATAATATCGCAAAAATTACGTGTGTCAAAACTTTACATTTAGAAATATTTGTCGTCTGTGTGAAATATCGATATCCGCTTTCGCACCCCCCAAAATCCATGCATACAATGGATAAATGTTTATCAATATAATATGTGTATGTATATAGTCAAATCTCAGTTATTGGTAGGTTTTTGTCTTCTTTTTTTTGTAGATACGTCCTATCTAGGAGGATAGATATCACAATACTGGCTTTTAAAAAGATTACCATTCAGGAAATAATTGATATATTAACATACGTAAGACTTCTTATCACAAAATGTTACAAATGCCCCTTCATGAATAAGCCGAAATAAATTCTGACGTCTAAATGTTTGAAAAATCTCTTTTTGTAAAATGTTTGAATTGTCGAAACCATATATAAATGAAAAAGCGGACACGTAAGCGCTTAATCCAAATACATGTATTATAACTCCTTTAACTTTCGTGATCTATTTTGAAACACGAGGGACAAATGACATCGTATTGACCTTATTTAAGTATACAATTGTATACCATTGAAATGGAACTTATTTTAGTATACAGTACTGAAATTTATTAATGGAAAACCAACTTTTTACAAAATTCGATATGTAAGAAGTGTATTGAACCATACTATAAGGTCAGTCTTTGTATGATTATTGTAAACTTGCATAGATCGCATTTCTCATCTTCAAAAATACAATCAGCTCGTTTAACTTCAAGCGGTGCGAAGGGATGGAAACGCTATATCGGTGCCAGGGAGCATGATCGCCGAATCCTTACTAGGCGATGTGTACACTAAATTGGTACAAGGGGAGAGTATACTGTTTGTTTATTTGTTTTTGAGTGTTTTTCTTTTCATGCACAATATGAATTGAAATATATAAAATGAAAAAGAGTAGTAGTTTCTCGACTCTGGAAAATTAAGTTTTTGAACGACGAATATTTTACATTCAGACAAATATTTGTAAAATTATGGAAAACAGTAACAACAGCAACAGCAACAACAAACAGTTTTGCTAGTGGTGATCAGAAATGATCCAAGTATTTCTATTCTCATAAGAGAATAAGCCCAATTTTCATGTTCATGACAAAGCGAAGAAAATTATGCGGTAAATTATACTGAAGTTGTACGTGAATACACAAAAGTTATATTTATCTTTCTATTCGACTAGGTTCATAGAGACTGTTTCCATATGTGACAAAAAATCTTGACAAAATGTGATCCCTAAGAAGCATTAATCACAACAAAACGACATGAAAATTGCAGACTCGTTCTGAATGAGTCTTTACAAAAGAGATAATGAAAAAGTGCAACATCCCTCACGCCCCCTAGCACCGGCTTAAGCGTTACTCAATTTGAAACACCAAAAAATGCTGAATTAAATGTTTACGATAAATTTAAATGTATATATCTGTTTGTACTCGTGTATTGTTTATAAAACATATAATTGTTCCAACAAAAAAGGATTTTTTAAATGAATTTTTCTTTCAGAATCGCGATTCATATTGAATGATTAATTATTTATTTATTTATTTTTATTATGCCCTTAAAGGGCCATTCAAACGTTTGGTTTTTGTTTCGGCTCAGTATTTGATATCGATAAATAAAAAAGTTTCTTTTCTACCTTATAAAGATATCAATACAGGCATAAAAATGAGTTCTTTCAATAAACGATTTAACCGAAATAAATGTTTCACAAAAATGTTTCACAAAATTGTGTTTCTACTTTTCATAACGCCTATAACTCTGTCCACCACAATATTTCAACAGTTTCGAAATTGTGTTTACTTTCCTGTCACTCGTCAAACACTTGTAAAATAAAAAAAAATTCCTTTTTGAACACGAAAAGGAAATCATCAAGATGATTTGCTAATTGCATGGCCCTCAATTATCTTTTCTGTTTTTGTTTCATCTAATGTATATAATTATTAAATAAAAACAAATGCCTTAACCTAGAATAACGCATTGTACCCCACATAGATTTATTGGTTATTGAAAAGGGTCAATCAGTCAACAAGAAAACTTCCTTGTAATTGGCATTTTTAACCCACAAAAACATTCAATAAATTCATTGGCCATTTCCGACTTTTAAAAATTCGCTTTTAAGACACCTCTTATAACATCAAGAATGTGCATATTAATCAAATACATTAAAGAAGAATATTTTGTAGAAAATTAAGGTTTCGTTCCTTAACATATGTTATTTTCACTCTTACATCATTTCCTTCAATAAACCGGTGTTTGCTTATCTGCTCGAATAAGATAAACAATATTAAAAATTGAACGGAATAAATTCAAATTAGAAGGTAGCTAAAGGGTATGATAAACCATACAGCTGTGACCGGAAGGTTATGACCTTCCGCATTTTTTTCTTCTGCTATATCCATGATTTTAAGGATAAAATCATTCTGATGACGAATCTAAAAATTCCAGATCCTGGTCGTGGGTTTTATGCACACTCTACAATATAAGAACAAACTCGTTTAGAGCCAAATCATTCGATTTTCTTTCACACCTTCACTAACTTATTTGTAGATGTTGTATAATTATAAAGAATAGAAAAATATATTTGCTCATTTTAATTTAACTTGTTTTAAACTGACTTTATTAGTATTTGTAATTTATCAACATACGAAGCTGTTTTATTGCATTGTATAAACCAAGAAGGGAATCATGTTTTGTAAGTAATAATTTGACAAATAATTATTTATCCCGACACTGTTGAATCAATTAAAATATATTTCACTAGACACCGTTCATAAAATTCGGCATTTGTATCGTAAACCGTCAAACTATTTACACATGAAACGATAAACTTCACACCCGGATGTAAACTAAGCAAGTTACCGTAGTTTGGCGGAAATTACCGACTTACAATTAATTGTACCACATATTACACATGTGATTCAGACTTGCGGGATGATAGTTGGTTTTTTTTTCTAAAAATAAATTAAAGGGATTTTTCTCTGTGATTGGAAAGGTATATATATTCAACGATTTGTAAATATACTTAAAATAATTTACATTAGTTAACATAATTTCACTAGTTCACAACAATAAATAGTTAAAAATGGAAAAAATATCGAGTATGAACTGTTTGTCTTCAAAACCAATATAAAATTGCTAATGATATAATTCAGTTTGAAATATTGATAATATTTTATATTTATTTTTCTACCATATAAAGTAGTTCAAGCAAAAAAAGAAAGCAACCAGAGAGAAAAAAAATAAATTATGACTAAATTAATAAATTTATATTTTTTTACAGAATATTTTGCACTTAAAATTTCTTGATGAAAATTACAGTATTTAATGTATACTTTTCTTTTCTAGGTTTATTTATAATAATTTCTGCGATATGTGCGAGTGTCATATTTACTGCACCAGTCAAACGATCGATTGACCTTAATAACCCGTGCTTTGTTCTTGCTGAACAAACCCCGTCACCATCAAATGGAGTGCCTCTTTCAAAAAGTATCAAAGATCTTATTGCAAGGACATCGGGATTGAAGATTGAAGCTGAAAACATACAGACATATGTAAGTAAAGTCGTAATTATTTATGATATAATAATACAAATTTAAAAAATATCGTAAGATTTATGTTCAATACACCAGCTTTTTGTTAAATGAACGTATATTTTGTATTAACAATAGATCATCCTTTCTTTGTGATTGAAGGAACTACATATATACTCGCGTTGCAATGACCAAATGCATAATTTACAACACTATTGTTTTAAAATCTAGTAATCTATAAGTATTATTTTCTAATTTCATATAATATGATAAAAACATCAGGAAATATATTAACTCGTTTCACACAATCATTATCCTTACCACTTGAAGCTGCGGAAGCAACATTTCCGGCAATAATTTATACATAAGTCTATCTCATTGTTGTTAACTAAGGCAATTTACATAAATTAAAATTTAACCTTTTGAAATTCCGAAGGCAACAGAACGATGATCTGTTATCAGAAACTTTTTGATCTGTCATTGAAATTTTGGACAGCTGTTATATCATCTGATTCAGTTTTTAAGGCATTTAAACCTTGACGTAAACTTTATTTCCATTCATTTCATTTCGGTTTGATATGTTTAATCTTTTCCACATGATTAAACAAGTTATCCTTAGCATTTTTTACCTTTTAAACTTTCAACTATTTACACACTCGTTTACGAACATGCCCCGAATAAATATCATTAATTTATATGTTCTACTTTACGAATAACCGCTAACATACAACACTGACTTAAAAAGTGGATGCATTCAAATCAAAGTGGAAATTTTTGTAGCTTGCATTTTTTAAACAAAAATTGATAAAGAAAAAATGAGATGGAAAAATTATTAAACATTGTTGGAAACAAAATATTCAAACTTAAATAATTGCAATATTTGTATCACTATTCACCGGTAAATATAAAATGGACTTTGTATTTAAGTAAGAAGTGGTAAGAACGTTAACAGATTGTAAATACCGTTGGCAAGATATTTGATAAGTAAATATTGAAACATAACACACGATTTGGAAGTATATATGACAGTATTGGAAATTTTGGATTTTAACTTATTTTAGCTGGTAAATAATGGTGCAATAAGCAGTGCAAAAGAACAGAAACTTAAAGACTACAACGGTTGGATAGACGATGATAAGTTTGATGCCACTGCGGAACAGAAACTAGCCGCCGTAGAACAGGTAAACAAATATAAGAGTACATAAGCACCTTAAATCTACTGAATTTGCCAAGGTTTGAATATTTGGAACTGTCCAGTGAGGTAGAACGGAAGGTTGTACAGGCAGTCTAAGCTCTATAATAGTTTAAAAATGCTAATCATTTTCGGTTTAAACTGTTTGCCACCTAATTTGAGTGTATTATTAAAATAACTACCTGTTGACATTGCTTTTTTACTGATGAACTGAGAAATACGTTTCACATTTCAATGAGTGTTCAAAGTTATCTAATGTATTTGTATAGCATATTATAATTTTTCAGACTATTTTTAATACATAAATGAGATCGGAAACGAAAATGAAAATTAAAAAATAAAACACGTTGTAAAAACTTCAAACGTAATAGACAAGCTAAAAATAAAAATGTCAATATTTAAATGTGCCAAAAGAAACTAAACATCTTTGTGAATCACCTTTCAGTCAAAATTGGAAATATTAAGTGATTTGGCCAATGTTTGACCTACCAATGATAAGGTCGGCTAAACCTTTAATATTGCGATAAGAAATCCCCATGTACACCGTATAGTAATGTAAATATTTTAGAAGATGAAATCATTTGTCACATTCTTCAGTCCATCCCTAATTGGCCCATTAGATGTTGGAAAATAATCTGTTACTTCCGACTTCCTAAAATGTCAGTTTTACCTGCAAATTATTTTAAATAAACTGTTATACGATTAATAAAAAACTGTATAATATTGAAACTATTATTTTTCATCTTTTTTTCTGTTTTCAGAAAATATCCGCACTGAAGGCCCATTTTCATTTAATAGCAGAACATCTGTTATATATAAATCAAGCCCGTACAAACGGACAGATAGCTGAAATATCAGGCGAAGCCGAAACAAGACAGAAGCTACAGGACTACGAAACAGAACTTGAAAGTGCAATGTGCAGCTTGAAAATAGCGATATTATCCAGTGGAAGTGATGTCACAAGCTCTGTATCAGAAAGTGATCTTGACTCTTTATTCCTGTTGTTAAACTCCCCGCTTGAGAATGATACCCAAAGAACCTACATTGCAGTTCAAGATGGCGTGCAGCTGATGGAATTTTTAAACACAATATACAAAGAGATCGAACTTTCTCTTGACGACACAGAAGCCTAATAAGGTATCAAAATCAAACCCATTGCAACCGTCAAAAGTGACTCGATTTTGAAAGACCAAAACAAACAAAAAACACTGATATTTCTATGGTCAATGTTCATACTCATAAGACCATAAATCTAGTTTTTTAATTTAAATGCAAACTAATTTTTAGGTAAGTCATTGTATGACCCACAAGATGTTTTAAGAATTCATGAATTCCGGACCTATCTTTGACAAAATTAAGAGATAAATTTGTAAACATTTCTCAATTGATACTGGACGCATTTGTTTCATTCATTTAGTCACAAAGGTGGTAATTACAAGAGAAATTTTATATTTTACACATTATTCTATGTTATTCGTGTTGTTGTTTTGATGATGTTGTTTGTTATTTATTATGTTGTTATTGTTTAAAGTCAGATTTGTTTTATATATATTTTAAGATCTGAATCAAAACTACTGCCAACCTCTTGCTGTGATTATACATTTATGTTTGCATCGTATTGTTATGCTTTAATGTCACGTTTTTTAATTCATTGGGACGCCATTATTTTTATTTATATCGATATTTATGTCATATTTCACGTGATTTATTTATATAACATATATCAGGCCATTTGTTTCAAGTGATGATTCACTCTAAATCTATTATTTATTTTTTTTAACATACAATTTTGGCATTTATTAAACGACCGAGTCGTTGATTGTTAACTCCAAGCTTTCTATATACCATTTACATTCACAATTATATGTAAAAAAGCGCACTTCAGGGATTTATATATTTTTTTAAATATTTTGCCGTTAGATATATTGCTATGTTTGTTGTATGCAAGGTGTCCAGTTTTTCTCAGGCATTTTATATTGTTTTTGTTAAATTATAATTATTGTTATATTCATTGTAAATAGTATCTGTTGATAAGTAATCCATAAATATTTAGTTTTATATTACGTTGTGCATTATTAAGGTTTAATTAAGCCTTATAAAATTTAAGTCGGATTTTTAGGTCTTTGCACACTTTAGCTATCTTTTGAAATTAATTTACTTTACCGTATATACTAGTAAGATAAGTTTATATTTAACACATATTCGACCCATCGTTTAACTGTTCTTCTGTCATAAAATATGAAACTAGGACTAAGTCTAGTCTTAGTCATGTTTAAAATATTGCGAAATTTCACCTTGCGAAAAGTTTAAGAAGTATATTTCCTTTCAGTTTCATAAATTTCGATTTTTATTAATACTTATTGACAATATTGTGATATTGTAATTGATTTCATCTTGTTATGATGAACATTTATTAACTCATTGTATTATTACATAACATCATTTTAATCTTGTAAATGACAATTTGCTATTTTTTTTAAAACATTCCTTTTTGTAATCATTCTTTAGCAAATGCAAGGATCAATATTAGCGCATTAAGGTCATGAAGTGTGAAAAATTTGATTTACTTTCGACTTTTACACCTAATGAAATTCAGTAAGGTTAACTAAGAGAAGTTAGTATATTTTATTAGATTAAAATGAATGCTTTACTGGATAAAAGGGAAAAAACGGCTTCAAAATTTTTATTTTTATCATTTATAGTATATTCTTAATTCAAAAATTTGTCTTTAAATCATAAGAATGTTTTTATTTTTTTATTGATTTACTCATTCAATTCTTTATTTATAAGTATATAGATTCGTCAACTGTTTATAGATTATTTCATTATTTTTAAATATTCATAGATTCCTCAATCATTCATAGTTTCACAAAACCTACCATCATTCATATATATTATTTTCCATTTTTGTCAAACATCTCGGCATTACTCAAAGATTAAAATTTCATTTGGTTGTCACCTTTTTCAATGTTTCTATGATTATTGTCTGTAACATATAACATGTATATCACTTTGCATTTACGAATGTTATTAAATAAATGGCATGTCCCCTCATATCCACAAAATGCAAAATTTATTTAAATGTACATATCAAATTTATATATATATTATTAATATGTTATGTTATGTATTGACCACGACATATGGTTGTTACACCGATGAAAAAAGACCATGAAATTAAATGTGTAATATTTGTTTGTTGAATAAATACGTGAAGCATAGCTAATTTTTTATTGTTCTTTTGTACATTTGATTTCAAAGAAATAGCTAGGAGAGAATGCAATGTGTCAAATTCCACGTGATTTTCACGTAACTAAGTTTTTGGTAATCGGTAAGTAGAAATTATAAATAAACCGCTCGATTCAAATCCTTTTAAAACTCACGTAAGTTCTTCATTTCTTTATCATATCTGACCAAATAAAGAGGAGGCTAGAGAATATACATGTACATGTATTTTAAGCGCATGGTAATTTTATTTATTTATTTTTTTTATTTTTCTTATTTTTTCTTATTTTTTATTCTTTTGGATAGATTAACAGATTTGGCGAAAACGGGAAAACTGTAACTTTCTAAGGAAAGAAAAAATTAAAAATATTTGGGAAAATTAAAAATTTCCCGTTTTTTGGCCAAAACTATCCATCTATGAAAAAGAAATTCATAACCATGCGCTTATACATGATACAACTAACGTTTCCCTTAGCCCTCGCTTTTTTCAGTCATATTTGATAAAGAAGCAAAGAACTAACGTGAGTTTAAATGAATGGAGCGGTTTGCTTGCCATATTATCAAAAAAATGACGTAAAAATCACGTGGTATGGGAACACTGAGAAATTGGAAACCATCTTTTACTGCTGAATACGACACTAGTCTTTGATCAAACCGTACAATAAGCAATAGGTTTGTCATTGTTGTTACAAAGGTTGCCCAGCATGTTGCTTTTCTAAAAATTGATAACTTTAAAAAATATAATTTTTGTTGTGATTTACTTTTGAGTTAGGTGTATTGAAAATGTTGTTCCTAGGCATTTTATGTGAGTGAAAAAGAAGACTGGAGACAGCAATTTATCGCCTTCCAAACAGGTAGAAAGATGATTTCCTTGGACAATAAAACCAACATTAGCAGTTATACTACTTTATAAATCAGATATATTTATGTTTTCCTTACATTTCTTTTCCACTTGTAAAATGTTTAAAGAAAATGTAATTTAATGTTTATAACTTACTGGCGCACCTTGTCAGGTGACGCGCGACCATTATTGTCGAAAAGAATCAGTGGTCCAAATATAGGCAACCATGACATTAAAAAAACTGAATTGACAGACCTTATCCGCAATGGTATGATAAAACATAGTTCATAATCACTTATCATGCAAAACAACACACCTTTTTTTAGAAAATGATTTAACTGTGAACTGGTAAGGGAAATTATTGATCAAAGGTAAAGGAATGGTGTGTAGACGAATTTGAATGAAATAGATTTTCCCACGATTAATAACAACTGGGTTTGATATTTGTTATTATACTACAGCTGAGTAAGTTATCAATGATAATAACAAAGTTATTTTGTATTAGTGTTGACAGGTAAGTTAGATATTTCTAACAGTGGTTGAAGCTGAATTAGGCATTTTCTGTCACTGGGTACATATAGGTAATGTATTTCTTGTATGTTAGGCATTTTGTATCAGTGATTTCAGTTGGGCGAAGGATGTTCCATCATTGAATACAGTTGAGTGAGTTATATTTTAGTTAAGCAGTTCTTGTAAGTGATAAAATTGAACAGCCCAGTTAGGTATTTTCTATCGAATTGATAAGTACTTATTTCTAGCCAGTACGGCGCATAGTCCATAAAAACAAATTTAAAACGTATCTTAGAGAATGATTCCTAAGACCATTCTCAAAAATCAGTTTTCAACTATTGCTTTTATGTGTGGTGTCATGAGCATTCTGATAAAATTGCACACATACTTCCAACAGTCAGTTTCAATTTCTATATGACAATACTTACACGGTTTGAAATGATAAAATATGCATTGTCAAATTGACATAATGTAATGTAGAAATGAGCATGTCGATTTCAAAGTCATTGTTTAGACTGTTTGTCCCATAAAAATCCCGCTACGCAATTCGTATTGTATAAGAGTCATCAATGCATGGTTCGACATGGTCATTTATAAAATACCTTTCACATTTCAAAAAATAAAACAACAAAATTCAATAACGTTTGCATTGTGAAAGAAGAAAATGTGACTTTTTAAACAATGTGTTAAGCCGCATGCTACTTTTATGTTATCTTAAACGAACCGCATTTGAACCGCAATCAACTCTTCATATCCATGAGGAAATAAAAATATCATGTAACCCTTAATACTAACAAAAATGAATTTGCCTTCAAAATAGGTACCTTTGGATTCATTCTTTAGTTGTATGTACTGGCTTAAGACATTTACATTTTCTTTCAGTTGTAAAAAAAATGGTTTTGTAGGAAACAGTAATTTTAGCAATAACAACAAACTTTTCGAATATTGCTAAAAATAGCACACAAGGAAACCGGACATAAAAATATAATGATGGTGGCATGTAGTACGACTGAGTTAACTATGTCTCTTTATATTTTATATTACTAATTGGTGGTATTTTGTAACAAGACTGAATTAAACCTTTTTAACGTGTTTACAATTTTCTGTGAATGATTCAGTTTTATTTATATATTATTGTTATATCGTATGATTTTATTTTACGTTTCTAGGCTATGTATATATTTATTATCAAATGTCAAGGCAATTAGATTTCAGTTGGTATTTTATATTCAAATTGAAATACCAAAAATGATGAGATATTCCTTCTTCCTTTTCCAACCCATCATTACCATCATTGTCCCCTCATCATTATCATCATCATCCGTGTGATCATCAGCATCATCATCATGATCATCATCATCATCATTATCATTATTATTATTTTATTATTATTATTATTATTATTATTATCATATTATTATTATTATTATCATCATCTTCATCATTATCATTATCGTCATCATTGGAAATTTTGCAATTCAAAGCGAATTTAAATGTTTGTGAAGCAAGGAACATGCAGCGGTCTTATGCTAGGAAAATTGGTATTTACACTAAATACTCGAATATACCTGTGATAGATAAACATCGAGTCTAAATTGATACCGCGAACCATGTAAGAGTAAAGGTATCAATTGTTAATATATGAGAAACTTTATTGTCGCATGGAAAATTTATAAGTTTGTTACAATGTTTTACACATACATTGGTCATTTCATTTACATACCTCATAATTGTTATATTCTATCTTATATAGTGCATTTCCTATAAATACATTATAAACTAGTATATCCTTACTTACTTCGCTCGTTATTTGACCGCAGCAGATGAAAATATTGTCTTTAAAGTGGAACTATGACTTTTGATTTTGTTGTATCATCTGTAATTAATTAGTTGTCTCTGTGTTAAACACTTCAGACCCAACACTTAATCAAAAATCAAATATAAAGGTTAATTCGTGCTTGCATGGGAAAATAAGTAAGCTTGCAAATCTTTTCCTTTTACTATTATATTTCCAATTTTCTAAACAATGTCAAATTATTTTAGTCAGGGATTAATAGCGAAGAAGTGAAGTATAGAAACAAAAAAACAGAAGAAGTTGACAATTAGTGTTCATTTGTTATAAAACACGCAGCACGTAAATCAGTTAAAGACAAACCGGCCCTTGAGATGTAGCATACAAGAGATATCATGTGAGGTATTGGTTCGCAAGGATTTATTTCGGATTCATGCCTATGTTAAATCTATCCAGCTTTACGGTTTACGATTTACGGTAGTTCTTTTCAAGTGCCCGTTCGTGCCTGAAATAATGCATGGAGGTGAACCTGAGGTCTTTATTGAAAGTCACTATGTGACCTAAACATTATGTATGCTCTTGTTTCAGAATTCAAATCATTTCAAAATACGACATTTTACACTCGAACACAGCATTTTTTGAATGATTAAACTGAAACATATCTTATCTAACTGCAAAAACAAACACGCGGTGTTTTAAATTTCATGCTCAGTTTTTTTTGTTTTGTTTTTTCAATTTTATGCTAAATATTCAAGTCACTAAGATTTAAGGGATTATACGTTTTTTTTTTATAAATGCGCTTAAACAGAGTGTTATCACATGACGGAGATCATTATGGTGTTTTCTTTTTTATTTCCTGAAATGAACTACAATTAGTTATATTAATCAGAGTGACATAAACCTAATGATGTAAAACGATATTATCTGTTTTTGACAATTTCGTTGTTAAAGATGTACTATGATCATCCTTGAGTAAACTATTTTAATCATGGAAATTTATTGAAATCTATAAAAATTCTTACTGAATATGTTCAATTGAATGAAAGAATGAATAAGCTATGTATAAGCTGTGTTCACTATTACGTGTCAAGCAAAGTTGGTCTTTTTTTCTTAAATCAAAACAGCCAGGTTTTTATGATACTTTATATTCATATTGTGCCCACCTTTATTGTGTACAGTTTTAAACACTACGCAACATGTCTATCTTGATTGTGTATCAATAATTAATATTTTCTAATATCAAATTTGACCATTTACATCTTTAAGTTGTCACATTTTAAGCTCAATATTGCGATAATAATGAGGTTCATTTTGTTCTCCGCGGCATGTATCGTTTACAGGGAGATCACTGCCAGAGAATAAAGAGCATTCAAAATGACAGAGTCCCCCACCTTTTCAATGAGCATATATGGAGAAAAATTATACTGTGTGTAATCATTCGTAGTTGATGAATAATTGCGATTAACACTACATGAAAAAATTATGCAGAAATAACATTACTTTCCACCTTATCATACATTTTTTTAATCTAGACTAGGGTTTTTTAAATTCCAAACTGTATTCTTTTTTATCAATAAGATAAATTATGACGGTAGAACTAAGTTGTATCATAAAACAATTTAATGTTATTTCATTATTTGTTTTCAGATATGTGAAACAAACAACACAAGACAACAGACGTGATAGACGAAATCAACTAGATATCACACAGTACCTGGATTTTAGAATTTGATCTACAATTTTATTGATTGTCTGAAAAACTTTATTTTATTATGCTTTGCTTATTTATAAATTTTTGTTGTTTTATTTCTATCAATTAACAAACATATCTTGAACAATAGATTG